CCCAGCCGAACGAGGCCACCTGCGGCAGTCGGCAGAGCGACGATCCGACGGAGTCATCGTCCCTCCGAACCCAGAGACGCCGGGTACCAGCACTGCTGGCGACCCCCCCCTCCGCAGCCGTCCCTCCCTCTGCTCCGTGCCCACGCTGGGGACCCGGGGGGGGGTTCCTGCGGCAGTCGGCAGAGCGACGATCCGACGGAGTCATCGTCCCTCCGAACCCAGAGACGCCGGGTACCAGCACTGCTGGCGACCCCCCCCTCCGCAGCCGTCCCTCCCTCTGCTCCGTGCCCACGCTGGGGACCCGGGGGGGGGTTACCGGGGTCAGCAAGTGCCACGCAGCACACAGTGGTACACCCTCCGTCATCCCACGGCCCCGGCTCGGGAACGGGGATCTGCACATCATGGGAGCTCCCTAGTTATAGGGTAACGACACTTCTGCAAACCCCCAAGAGGTTTTAAACCCCGTGGGGAGCTGGTACCTGCGCCTTGCTGAGTGCCGACACAACAGGCTGATTTGGGAACGTCTCTCTGCCTTTCAGCACAACTCACACTCTTACCGGTCCCTGTCACACTCGAAAATATTTGCAGGGGAGGCATTCACAAAACAGAAAGTGGTTTCACTATATGTGAGCTACGTTATCATGAATACCTGCGGACTTCCAACACCTTATTTTCAGATGTGTTTCTCACAGTCCTACATTTATGAACTAGAAGGCGGAGGGGAGACGAGAATTGCTCTGTTTGGGAATTTGGACACAAACAAGTAAACACAGTCCCAGAGAGTTCCCAAGCCACTGGAATCCATGGGAAATTTACAGTCAGCTCATCCACGGCCGCATCAAACCTATGGGATGAGATCCTGACTTTGCTGCTATCGGGAGAAGTTTTGCTACCGCATTCAGCAGAAAAAAAGGATTTCACACAGCTTCTGCTACTTCCTTATTGATGAAAGACCTCCGTACTTACCAGGCCATCGCACGTGCTGAGCGCGGCCAGACCTCCCGCCAGCGCCCGGCTCCGAACCTCCCCGATCATATGGCAGGAGTTGTACGGGTGAGACTGGATCTTGGCGTTAGCGATCCCCCCGTATCGCCTCTCGCTGACGAACCCGGGTGCCAGGAGGTTGTTGTTAAGGCTCAGGTTGAATTTCAGCGGTTGTCCTTTGTAATACAGTTCATAGAAGGCAGGAGACTTACTCCTGGGGGAAGGAGACCTTCGGTGAAGCACTCGGTGGGACAAATCGTAGGACAGGAATGATCCGCTCTCGTCAACCTTGATGGGATAAACGATGTCGCCGCTGGGGTACGGCAGAGCAGGCTCTGGGAAGAAAGGGGTTCAGCGGTTAGCTGTAGGGTTCATCACCGTTCCTCTCCTACCCCTTCGACTGGGTGCTGAACTCCCAAGGCAGCCCACGGGGGACAGGTACACGAATACC